TTTATTTGACATAACTATTTGGAGCTTATCTCAGTATAAAATGTAAGATGTTGGTCAATACCTAGTTTCTACCAGATGGTTTTCCAGCTTTCCCAGCAGGTCTAGTTAAATAGCCAAATTCTTCTCATAGTAGATGAGGTCATGGGTTTATGAAGCCCTAGGATATGATATTCATATGCTTCTATATGTTGTGTACTTAATCTAGTCTACCAATCAATCCATTCATTAACCAGTACCAATTTTTTTTATGATTACTGCTTTGTACAACAGTTTATCTGTTGCTTCTAAGATCCTTTCTCATTTCCCTTGAGATTCTTAGCCTTTTTATTTTTTTCCTGACAAATTTCGTTACTATTCTTTCTAGCTCTATAAAGAAATCCTTTGGTAGTTTGACTAGTATAACATTAAGTATGGCAACTAGGTGGCACAGGGGATAAAATGCCAGTACTAAAGTTAGGAAGAGCAGAGTTCAAATCTGGCATCAGACACTGTCTAACTATGTGACCCTGGGCAAGTCACTGGACCTCTGTCTGTCTCCATTTCCTTATCTGTAAAATGGGGGAAACAATAGCACCTACCTGCTAGGGTTGTTGTGAGGATCAAAGGAGATAATTGTTGTGAAGAGTTTAGCACAGTGCCTGGAACATGGTAAGTGCTGTATAAATAGTAGCTATTAATATTCATTTAATTTAGGTATTATTGTGATTTTTATTATATTGGCTTGCCTGCTAATGAGCATGTAATGTTTCTCCAGTTGTTTGGTTCTGTCTTTATTTCTGATCATCAGCACATACTTTTAACCAGTAGATGGCATCGATAGGCATTGCCAGGTCCTAGGTTCATCTTGGCAGTTAACACAACCCACCTGGATGGAAGTGCAGAGGCAGAAGCTCTGGTTTTCAAAAAGTCAGTGACCTTCTAGCCCTCAGCACTGTCTCTCTCTCTGGGGAGAAGCACCAACTCATTGTCAATGGGCATGTGGACTTTGAGGCTCTACCCAAACAAAATGTTGAGCCCCTACCTGTTGGTGAAATACTATCTCTTTCTCTGAACTTGTTGTATTCAAATAACCTCTAGTCTCCTGTCCTAGACATGTCAGATTTGGCTCTTCATGGAAACAGACTCAGCTACGTGGATGCTATGTGCGGCATTTATCAGTAAACAAATAAAGAGGGTAGAGTAACTAGAAGATGGTGCATAATAAACATGGGAAACATCTGCAAAGCAGCACCATGAGCCCATTAATCTCTCAAACCAAGGAAAACCCCAGCATCAGAAACTGGTCCCAATCTATCTTTTTCACATCATTGGACATTACTCACCTTCCTATTGTCTATGTTTCAGACAAACTGGTCTTACATGACACTCTATCTCCCACCTCAGTATCTTTGCGTTGGCAATTCCCCATGCCAGGAACCTCAATAACACCCCCCTCTTCCTTTAAGATTTGCTCAAGCATCTTAGGAAGTGTTTCTTGATCCCCTCCCCAACTGCCGGCACCTCCCTCCCAAATTACCTTCTACCCCACCCCTCGTGGATGGTAATGTTCTCTCTCCCAGTAGTCCTGTCCTGGAAGGAAACTCCAGCTACCTCTGGCCAAAACCAGCCTAGCCCAGAGGAGAACAACTTGCATTTCACCTGTTTTATATTAATTTACTTTATGTTTATGCTGTATATATTTTTATAGCTACTTTTTTTTTGTCTCCCTCACTAGAATGTAAACTCCTTGCAGGTAGGGATCATTTCATTTTTTGCGATTGTATCTCCAGTGCCTTGTGTCATTCCTGCTTCATAAAGGCTTGTTGATTCATCAATTGCTCTGGACTCACGAGTTATTAATAACATAAGCAGCTAGCTTCATATATGTTTATAAAGTACTTGACAAATATCTCATTTTATCCTCCTAACAACCCTGGGAGGTAGGGCTACTATTACACCCATTTTACAGATGAAAACATTTAAAAAGGCAGAGATTAAATGACTTGCCCAGGGTCCCACAGCTAGTAAGCATGTGAGGCCAAATACGAATTTGGATCTTTCTGATTCCCAGTCCAGAGCTCTATTCGCTGTACCATTTGAGCTCTAGGAAATGCACCATTTGAGTTTCTTTGGTTCACCACCAGCCCTCCCCTTCAAGTGGGCAAGAGAGTATAGAGAACACTGTTTACCCAGGATGTTTGACTCATGCTTCCTGGATGAGAACTGGTCATCAGGAGCAAAGGCAGAAAGTCAGGAGGAACTCTGATTCTGAAACTCGAGGCACAAGGAATGGGCACAAGAGCCAGGCAGACTCAAGGAAGGATCAACCCCGCCCTCAAGCTCCATGGAAGGTATGTGCTTCCTCCTGGCTGTCTTGTCCTGGCAGGGAACTTGTGGCCAAAGCTAGCCTCGCCCAGAGCAGAACGAGGGCATTTAACAGGCAGCTCAGAAGCAAGAGACCCAGTTGCTCTCATGGCTCCTGGTGTCTCTTTCTCTGCGACCTCGTGCGATCAGTTTCCCTCTCCTTGCTCTACCTACCCCCCCCCATAGGTCCAAGCAGCAAAGAGGGAAAGCAGCTATAGAGTGAATAGGCAGTGTGCCTGGATCCCTAGCACCTGACCTGTTGACTGTACCTTAACGGGACATTAATGGACTAAATGCAATTCAAAGGAGAGGCTGGTATGTCTTCTAAGAACACAGCTTTTGGAATGGTGTTCCTGGATTAGAATGTGAGCTGCTTGACGGCAGGGACCGTGTTCTGGCTATTCTTTGTATCCCCAGTACCTGGAATAGATGGAGTGGGTAATGAATGCTCGCTGAAGCACAGCTAGGTGGCCAGTGGATAGAGCACCAGACCTGGAGGCAGGAAGATGGGAGTTCAAATGTGGCCTCAGACATTTACTAGCTGTGTGACCCTGGGCAAGTCACTTGCCCAAGTTTGCTTCCATTGCCTCACCTGTCACATGAGCTGGAGAAGGAAATGACAAACCCCTCCAGCATCTCTGCCAAGAAAACCCCACATGGGGTCCCAGAGAATCAGACGTGACTTAGACAACTGAACAACTCAACGCTTATTGATTGGATCTAATCCGTTGGCCAGGTTCAATTAAGCTGCTTACCAGTGACTTGGTAAATGATCATTCCCTGCCCAGGGGCTGCCTTTCCCCATGCCTCTACACTGCCAGGTACACACTCGTGACAGGGGAGTCCATGGGAATGGGACATGCCCACAGCGATCCCCTAGGAGACTGCCCCTAGCATTCCTCTGGTGGCAAAGGCACATCTGTAGTGACTAAAGTTCACTTGGCAGGGAGTGTCCACAGCTGGAACCCGGATCCCTGTTCCCAGGGCCTTGGCCTTCCTGTCTATATAGCAATAATCTATGACCCATAAATTCTTGGAGCTGTGTAAACACCTTTTACAACAACTCAGACTCTTATCGGGGCCATTGTTAGCCTAGGGACCCCTTCTTTTCTCTTCCCCTCATTCCAGCCTGGCTCTCTTCTTCGGACCCTCTGTGATGCCACTGCCTGAGGCCTCCCTCCCATTCCCTCTTCCTCCCCTCTCCCTATGGCCCCTTTTACCTTCTTGTTCACGCAAGCCCCTGCCCTATGAAGGGGGTGGACTCCTCTATATTATCGGGTGTGGTTTATTATCTCCCTACCCCCACCCTGGTTACACAGTAATTCCTTACAGGGACCCCAGCCTATCAGGTCCAGAACTGTCTGCCCATTGGACAGAGGGGGACAGACCTTGCCAATATTGACAGATAAGGAAAAGTCCAACAGAGGAAGAAATAAGGAAGCAAAGAGAAGGGCTGAGAAGACATCTGAGAGAGGGAGCTTGAGGCTGGCAAAATCTCAATTGGAGGAAAGAGTCATACTGACGAGTCAATTAAACCTTCCTGTGAACAGTACCCTGAATAAGGTGGACTTGGAAGGGGAAAGAGACTAGAATTTTCTAGAGGAATCTGAGCCATGGATCCTCTGAGTTACCTATCCCCAGAGAAGGACCAAGAAGCACCTTGTTTTAAAGGATGAGATGACACCCTACAAAAACAAGTAAGGAGAGAAGAAGATGAGGACTCCATCTCAGTGACTAGGATTCGGTTCTGGGACCTCCTCTTACCACTGCTCCCCTTCTCTGTGAACTCTTAGTCCCCAGTAACTAGCTGGTCAAAAAAAGAAAAGAAAAGAAAAATCTGGACTCTAACAGGATCTTGAACCTGATGTCCCGAGGCTGACCAGAGAGGACAAATTCAGGTTGGCTCACTCTGGGTTTGGGGATTAATGGGTCATCTCTCCAGAGACAGCTAAGGGGGCTCGGGAGTGAATTTTAGCTTCCTGGAACATGATCAGCCTTCAGGAAAGAAATGGTCTAGTTCCCTGAGGCTGGATTCAGTGGTTTGGATGAGACCCGCCAAGCCTCAAGAATTTGGACCCCAACCCGGTTGGACCCAAGAATTGGTGTTTTCCCTTCAATTCTCCATTCTTTCCTGTCCCTCTTCCCTTTCTACATAGGATCTTGTCCCTGGTGACTAATTTGTGAAAGAGAAAGGAAGACTCTGGAGTTGGAGAGGATTGTGAACCCAGCACCGGAAGGCCGAGGTCAGAGCGGCAGCTCTGCCATACCTAGATTACTCCTTCCCCAAGTCTGCAGCCTCCAAGGCCACAGGATGACCCGTAACCCACCTTCCAGCTTGCCCAGCAGTGCTGGGGTGCTCCATTCTGATGTGATGTGATGTGTGGTTCCACTTCGAAGGCCACTGGGCTCCAGGACGCACAGTTCCTAGAAGCTGTAGAGAATGGTCTGGGGATGGCAGGAGCCTCTGGCACAAGGCTCTCTCACCATGTCCTAGGCCTTTAGGTTGGGTCCCAAGAACTGCCAGGGAGCAAAGAGTTATTTCTCCTACCTCTCACTTATCTTCAGCTGCCAACCCCAAATCCTCATTCCCTTCCTCAGCCACCCTTGGCTCTCAAAGAAAGAGCTGAAGCTGCCCGACTTTGGTTTTGGGCAGAGCAATGGAGGGGAAGACTCTGGACAAATGTGATTCCCCAAAGCAAGTGGATCTGCCCTTCTCCATTAAGGAGATCCTGAAGAAACCAACAAGGAGGAGAGATGTTTCCAGCAAAGATAGAGGGGACGCCCACCTGGCTTCTACTGAGACCCTAACACTGGATTACTCCCCACAGGACCTCCCCCAGGGTAAGTATCTTGTGAGCCCCTGGCTTCATGCCCTAGAAAATATAAGGAAGGATGGTGGAGTCTGCACGTGGCTCCTACAGCCCCTGCACCGAGCTCAGATTTCCAGTATCAGTGGAAAGCCCTTGGTCCTGGAATTATTCCTTCAAGAGCATTCAGCCTGCACACACATCTGCCCATGTCACAGGTGAGGAAACTAAGAGGTGTTGTGATTTGTCTAAGGCTACACAGCATAATGAGGTAATCGGTGGGGGAGTTAGCACTAAAATCTACAGCTCTTGGCTCTTAGAATTGAAAATTGAGAATGTTAAAAATTATAAAGGCCCCCAGAGATCATCTAAGCCACTTTGGAAGAGCTGTGAGTGATCACAGAATCACAGATTTAGAGCTGGAAGAGACCTTAGAAGCCACCGAATTTAAACACCTCCTCTATTTTGCAAATGAAGAAACTGAGTCACAGAGAGATTTAAGTGATTGCTCAAGTCCACACATATAATATTCAAGATAGAACTGGAACCCTGGTCCTCTGACTCTAATTCCTGTGCTCCATGTTGTTGGTGATATTCAATCATTTTTCAGTCTTGTCCAATCCTTTATGACCCCATTTAGGGTTTTCTTGGCAAAGATACTGGAGTGGTTTGACATTTCTTTCTCCAACTCATTTTACAGATGAAGAAACTGAGGCAAATAGGGGAAAGTGACTTTCCCAGAGTCACACAGATAGTAAGTGTCTGAGACCAGATGGGTTTTCCTGACTTCAGGCCCAGCATTCTATCCCCACAGTGTACTATCCATTTGTCTGAGAGAGACAGAGAGAGAGGCAGACAGAGAAACAGAGAGAGACAGAAAAGATAGAGAGAGAGAGAGAGAGAGAGAGAGAGAGAGAGAGAGAGAGAGAGAGAGAGAGAGAGAGATTCCATGCTAAATGAGAGGCCCAGATTCTAAGGAGAAGGCAGTGTCCTGTACAGAAAGGAGTAAGAGAATTGAATTCCTATCAGAATACCTGAATTCAAATCCTAGCCCTAAGAGGTTCTGCCTTATGATCTTGGATAAGTTAATTAGCTTTTCCAGCCAGCTGTTTCCTTTTCTGAAAAATGGGTATAATAATGCTCCCGGGGCTGTCTTGGGAAAGGCAAACTTTAAATAGAGTTCCATATAAAGGAACTAAGCCTCAGAGGCCTGAAGGTCACTGTGGCTACTTAAACGTTAATAGCTACTGACTCCCTAATAAAATGTTGAGAAGAGCCATGGAGCAGTCACAAATGGGAGTTAGGAAGATGAGTTTAAATACCACTTCTGCAACTTGCTGCCTGAGTAACCTTGGGCAAGTCACTTGGGTTCCCTAGGCTCAGTTTTCTCATCTGTATAAAATGGGGTCAATAATGCCTGTAGGACTTGTCTGTAGAACATGGAGTTATTATAGGGTTCAAATGAGATCATGCTGTGAGTAAAGCACTTTGCAAATCTTTAAATGCCATATAAATGCTACCCAGGATTGTTATAATAACCACTCTCTTTACCAAGGACATTTATATTTTCCCAGAGGATTCTGGGAGATTTTAATCCAAAACAATGAGTGCAGAAGGAGCACTCTTGATGGGGTGGGGATGAGGACAGGAAAGCCTTTCCAGAGCCCTCAAGGCAAACCTGCTTCATTCTTGTATAAGGCTATCACTGTCACCATTCATCCATTAGAGGGCTAGGACACTGGGTCTATCTACCTTTCTCAGGCCTTACTCAGCATCTACCAGAGAAGAGGGGAAACTTTAGGTTCTTAGAGAAACAGACCCTGCCCCATGAGTCTGGGGGACGGGGAGGAAGAAGGGTTTCTCCCATAAAGTCATAGGGAAACCCTCAGAGGCCAAGCCAGGAAATGGGCTGCCTAGGTCTCTGCCTACTGTTCTGCCACCCCAACCCTTTGTCAAAATTAAAAGGGAAAAAAGTCAGATCACCACCCAAGTGAGCTACACAAAAATGGGAGAATTAGAGAATATTGGAGATAAAAGAACAAACTATTAGAACAAAGCTGGGAAGGGCCTTAGAACAGGGAGTGTCAGAACTGGGAGGGAGCTTAGAACAGGAAATGGCAGAGCTGGGAGGGGCCTTAGAACAGGGAGTGTCAGAACTGGGAGGGAGCTTAGAACAGGGGATGTCAGGGCTGGGAGGGGCTAAGGACAGGGGATGCCAGAGCCAGCAAGCATATTAAAAATTACATAGTCCAACTCTTTCATCATATAGAATGCCCAGAGAGGAAAATGATTTGCTAAAACTTTTGCCACTTCAGGGCAGATGTGGCATTACTGGGGTTGTCCAAAGCTGGCCTGGGCCTGCTTTGCCTTGAGGTACTAACTCTTGGGATACCTATTTCTTTTTTTCTTCTCTCCCTTTCTAGCCCACTTCCTCCTTCCTTTCCCCCAACACAAACATATTTATTTCCTCAAATATGGGACAGGAATGTTTTTCTGGAGATAATCCCATTTAATTCATAAATCTGCCTCTCCCAGGTCCTAGGCTGGTGGAAAAATGGGAGCGGGACCCTCAGCCGATGATACCAGCCCCCTCTCCCAGTCACCTCCTTGAAGAGACAGCCCCAGGGACATCAACCAGCTCCCCAAAACCCCAAGAGACAGTTTCCCAGCTGACTGACATCCTGCCAGCAAGCCCAGGTTTGGAGCCATCAAAGGGAAATAGGAGAGATGGAGTTGAGGAAGACCATGGACACAACTTCCTTACTGACCCACCCTTCCATGGTAAGTAGAGCCATTGTGATCTATGTACCAGGACAGTGGGGAAGGCATTCTAACTCTTTGTTGCTATGATCCTACATAGTGTTGGGCTTGGAGTCAAGAGAGTAGAGTTCAAATCTTGCTCTGCTACTTAACCTGTATGACCTTGTGTAAGTCCCTTTACCCCACCATGGGCCTCAGTCTTTCTATCTGTAAAATGAGGGGATTGAACAAGCATCATTGAGTTCCTTTTTAACCCTAGGCCTCTGTGTGTGTGTGTGTGTGTGTGTGTGTGTGTGTGTGTGTGTGTGTGTGTAATATCTATATATGCATATATATTCACTTATACCATGTTACCTCCTATTTGATATAATATTATATATTTTCCATTTTCTGTGTTTGCATCATAACCCCTTACTATACTGTAAGCTCCATGAGGAGAAGGATCAGACTTACCTATGTGACTTTAGTCAAGTCTTTTAATTTCCCTGGGCCAAACAACACAGGAATAATGGAGAAAAGTGCTGTATTTGAAATAAAAAAAAAAAACTAGACTGAAATTCCACTTCAGACATTTACCGAATTCCTTGGAAAGTTACTAAACTTCCTGTGTCTCAGTTTCCCCACATGTAAAATGAGGGGGTTGGATTTGAAGGCCTCCAAAGTCCCTTCCCCACTCTAAATCTATGGATCTGTGATCCTATGATTCTCATTCTCTCCTGGTGTGTTCTGAAGAACCAGGCCTCTCGACTGGAAAACCAAGGAAAACACATTTTTCTAAGAATCTCAGAGAGGCCTTGGTGTGTGTGCGTGCTTGAATTTCGTTTTGAGGGTCCAGGGATCATAGAGTCAATAAGTAGGTGTAATATTCCCCCTGGCCTCAAAGCTGGAGTCTCACATCTTCCACCAGCATTTCCAGGAACAGAAGTCGGCACCTCTGCCCTGCTCTGCCCATCCCAACCACTGGGGCAGCACTGATTGTGTTATCTTCAGGAGGGGTGATTAATAGCTCTGGCATTTGGGCATGTGGAACTCGGAGCTGGTTTTATCAGAGCAGCCAGCACTGACAGCAGGAAGAAGCCAGCATTGCGAGCTGTTTCTTACTGCCTTGAACCCATAGAATCATGAGGTTCAGAGCTGAAAGGAAGTGGGGAAGTCCTCTGGTCCTGTCCCCTCATTTTATACATGGGTAAAGTGAGACCAAGGAGGAGAAAGCACTTTTCCAAGGCCATATCATAGTAAGAAGAAAGCCAGGATTTGAACTCAGATCTCCTGTCTCCAGGTTTGACTAGTTCATTCCCTGCCTTGTCACACACAGCCTGGCTTCCTGTTTGGCCACTAAATACGTACATAAGGATCCCCAAGGACACCATATTGACTTAGTTTTAAAATGTAATGTTATCTCTACTTCATCGTATTTCTGTTGTGTTAAATATTTCCCTGTTAAATTTTAATCTGTTTTGGGCTGCACTCTGAAGTGTTGCTGGTCTCATACTATGTGTTCAACACCTCTGTCTATAAGCAATGGAGACAGGTGTGAACACAGCTTTGGAAGTAAGGATTGGTTTATATGCTTGGAGGGAAAAAAGAAACCAAAAAAAAAAAAGGAATCAAAAAAGAAAAAAGAATACAACCAAGAAAGGGAAAAAAATAGGCAGCAATCCCATCAGGGGTATGGTGTGCTTTCTTCCCTTTTTGTAGGCTTTCTGCAGGAAGGAGGGTGGAAACTTCCAGGCAGACTTGCTGAAGAGAAATGTTCAAGGTCAAATGAACTTCCCTGGGCCTGTACAATGAGGAAGGTGCACCATATGGCTTCTGAGAACCCATCCTAGATCTAGGAGGCTATGAGGGCAAAATAGTTCTTCTCTCTGGACCTCAGTTTCCCCCCCTGTAAAATGAAGGGGTTGGACCAGATGGCCTCTGGGGTCACTTTCATCTCCAGGCCTAGGATCCCATGACTAGAGTCCCTACTGACAGAAGTAAGAAACCTGAAGAAAAAAAGAGCCAATCAAAGCAGGAACAGTGAGACTTCTCCAGTTGCTGGAATAGCTTTAAAATTCTGTGCAAGATCCCCTAGAATAGGACCCTGCCCATGTTAGTTACTCAGCAAATACTTAGTGAATGTCATTTGGGGGTTGTTGCTATTGTTTTTGTATTGTTTTTGAGTCATTTCAGATGCCTCAGGATTCCATTTGGGGTTTTCTTAACAGAGATACTGGAGTGGTTTGCCATGTCCTTCTCCAGCTCATTTTACAAGTGAGGAAACTGAGGCAAACAGGGTGAAGTGACTCACCCAGGGTCACAGATAGTAAGAGCCTGAGGTAGGATTTGAATCCAAGTCTGCCTCACTCCAAAGCCAAGCTTCTTTCTATCCACTACTCAACACTACCTCTGATTCTATACCATGAAAAGAGAAGGAGATTATGAGGCAGTAAAAAGAATATTAGTAAGACAACATAAGCTTGATGGAAGGGAAAGCTTAAACATAATCCCACCAAGAGCCAAATGCCTTGGGGTGAAAATTGTACCAATCAGTATTCCATACTCTATAGGATAAGCCCAGCTCTGGTTTCTTACTGAAAGTACCACAGCCATGATGAGGGCTAGATGGGGGTCACCCTGGGCCAGAAAGACAATAGGAGGGTGGTTTGGGCCAATCCTGGCTCTGCCACTCACTATCCACGGGACCTTGGGCAATCCTAAACTTCCTCATCTATAAAATGAGAGGGCTGGGCTAGATCATCCTGAGGTCCCTTCCCGCTCTAGGACCCTAAGTCACGTCACAGCCCTACGGCTCGGTTTGCTCACACAGAAAATGAGGGGATCATAGGAAATGGCCTCTCAGGTCCCTTGCAGCCCTAAATTGTCCCATGACTTGCAGACCCAGTTCAGACAACCCAGAAATACCCTCAAGAGAAACTTGAACTCTCAGGGTGGCATATAGAACCCAAAAGGGGGTTCCAAGTGAGGGGAGGCCAGAGATCCCCTACCCTGAACCCCGCCCCTTGCTGGTCAGCATTCATTCTCCCCCAGGGTATTAGCCTCACTCTGGATCTTTGTCAAGCACTGCTCCTCATGTAGTGGGGTGGAAAAACAAATAAATAAATGAATCAATGAACAGACGAGATAGATAGATAGATAGATAGATAGATAGATAGATAGATAGATAGATAGATAGATAGATAGATAGATAGATAGATAGATAGATAGATAGATAGAGATAGATGGATAGATAGATGGATGGATGGATGGATGGATGGATGGATAGATAGATAGATAGATAGATAGATAGATAGACAGACAGACAGACAGACAGACAGATTAGATAGATATGGCTAAAGACAAACAATTAAACAGACATAGATAAGTAGATAGATAAATGGTTAGACAGATAAATGGTTAGATAGATAAATGGTTGGTTAGATAGATAGATAGATAGATAGATAGATAGATAGACAGACAGACAGACAGACAGACAGACAGATAGATAGATAGATGGATAGATAGATAGATAGATAGACAGACATAGATAGATAGATAAATAGATAGATAGATAGATAGATAGATAGATAGATAGATAGATAGATAGATAGATAGATGGATGGATGGATGGATGGATGGATGGATGGATGGATGGATAGATAGATAGATAGATAGATAGATAGATAGATAGATAGACAGACAGACAGACAGACAGACAGACAGATTAGATAGATATGGCTAAAGACAAACAATTAAACAGACATAGATAAGTAGATAGATAAATGGTTAGACAGATAAATGGTTAGATAGATAAATGGTTGGTTAGATAGATAGATAGATAGATAGATAGATAGATAGATAGATAGATAGATAGATAGATAGATAGACAGACAGACAGACAGACAGACAGATAGATAGATAGATGGATAGATAGATAGATAGATAGACAGACATAGATAGATAGATAAATAGATAGATAGATAGATAGATAGATAGATAGATAGATAGATAGATAGATAGATAGGTAGGTAGGTAGGTAGATATAGCAAGCATACTAGGAATAGATCTGAGCAAGAGAAATATTGGTCTATAATTAGGTGGCCTAATCACCTGTGTAAATTGTGTATTTCTTATGATCAATGTGCTAAGCGGCTCAGGCTTAATTAAGCTTTGCTGACTCTCCCCCTTTGATGGCCCACTGGAGTGTGATGACACAGCTCTCGCAATTAATAAAAGTACAGGAGAAACTCAGAAGGAGGCATTTCCCTGCTGGCATCTCTCTCCGTCTTCCCTTTCTCCCACTACAGCTCCTCTGCTCCACACAAACACGTGTAGATGCACATTTCAACCCTCCTTTGCTTGTCTTTGAATGGGCTGGGTTTTGACAGAGTAGGTCTCTCGAGATAGGTAGGTCACACAGTGAATAAAGTGATGGGTTGGGAGTCAGGAACACCCAAATTCAAATACAGCCTTGACACTTAATAGCTGGTCAAGTTATTTAACCCACTCTGTGCCTCAGTTTCCTCATCTGTAAAATGGAGATAATAATAGCACCTCCCTCCCAGGCTGTTGTGAGGCTTAAAGAAGATAATAGGAAAGTGTTTACTTAGCACATAGTAGGCACTTAATAAATCCTTGTTCCCTTTCTTCCTTCTAAATCAAGAGCCTACCCTGGCTATGGACTCCCTGCCATGGTAGAGAGAGGCCTAGACAGGGGAGGTCATGGCTTAACCCATGGGAGGGTCTACTGTTTGAAGGAATCTTTGGAGAAGTCATTCGATCATTAAGCAACTATCTAACCTAAACTTGGGTGAAGCACTTCCTCATTATGTCTCCTCAACCCTCCCAGCTCTGACATTCCCTGTTCTAAGGCCCCTCCCAGCCCTAACATGCCCTGTTCTAAGGCCCCTCCCAGCTCTGACATTTTCTGTTCTAAGCAACCTCCCAGCTCTGACATTGTGTGTACCATGGTCTTTCCGGGTTCTAACATTCTTTGCTCTGTGAAGACTCAACTCCCAGTAGAGCTTTCCCAGACTGTTCCA